TGTTACTGAAACATTCACTGTAAGTGTTGTCAATTATTCGGTATGAGAGAGGCAAACAAAAAGGTATTTTGGTGAGGTGCTGTATCTTTTAAAGAAAATAAATACTGAGACATCTCAAGTAACTTGAAATTATATCTCAGCTACAGTATTCACTGTCTCTGTGTTGGCCCATCTCATGGTTCTTTTGGGGGGGTTTATTTGTTTTTATTTTTATTTTTTAATTAAACAAAGCATTTAAAATTTACTCATTTTCATTAGGCTTTTTAAAATATAAACAAAGTTTTGGCAAATAAAATTTATACAGAAAAATAGTTTTAGATCTTCCCAAATTTTGAAATAGTCTATAAAATTACTTTATAAATAAATAAAATGCAGAATCTGTTGTACACGTATTTGCACATGTCTGTAATTGCCTCCTTATTGTTAGCATAGGTTTGCACTTGTACAGCTTTTAGGAATATTACAAAGTCATAAAGTCGGAAAGTGGATCTCTTATTAAAAATACATTTTCTCTTTTTTTTTGTCTGTCAGTTGATCTGGATGAAAGACCTGATGTATCTGAAGCTTCGTCATCCATGGGCAAAAAATAGTAGTATTGGATTAATTGTAAAAAACATAGAATAACAGTTATTTCGAAACATAAAAAGTTCACACAAACAATGTTTTGAAGAGTTATCTACATAAAATATTTAAACAACATGGATAATTTACCATTTAGTATTGTACAATAAGCTACCCAAATGCCTAAATTAACTATTATAAAAAAATAAAAACAACTTTGACAGATATAGGCAAGTTGCAGTGTCAACTACCTAGTTATAATGACTGAGAAAGTCTACAAATATTAGTGTTTAATAGTATATAATGGTGATACCTTAACTGCTAAAGTAACAAGTTAAGATACATTATTTTTCCACAAATTAAAACTAACGCAACGTTACAAGCACTATGTTAATTTTACAATCGAATTGTGATTATTTTTTTCTTTCGGATGATCAAATCTCCAGCTTTATATATAAATAGATAGTAATTAGACATTGGACAAACAAGATTTAGCCCAGAAAATAATCTCCTAGACAAGTAATTATATGGTTAGTGCCTTCAGTCTTTCAGAACAGGCAGTGCTGCCAAAGTTTAAAATAGTTTACAATCAATCTGAAGAGGTTAAGTTAAAATACTGCAATCACTAATAATGTCCACATAGAAAACTTATGCCGCAAACAATTATACATAATATCCACTTATAACAGCTGTCTTGTTTTTTAAACAATAATTTAAAAACTATGTAGTTTATGTGATACATGTGCAACATATAAAATGTGAAATATGAAATATTTGGTACAATAGTGCTTGAAACAAATCTCAAATCAAACAAATGAAATTTTAATTATACATATATAATTACCTTGTAAATCAACAAAGTATTTAAAAAAGTAAACAACATTAAAATCTGCTTCATCCATATATATGTATGTATGTATATATAATATGTATATAACTGTATTAAAGATATCTTCATACTTTTGTGACACAAAATATGTTTTTAAAGAAAAAACAATTAAAAGAACTATTTTTTTTCTTCACTCTAATCTGGTTACAATCTTATGATCCAATTTAAAAAATGCAAATACAGTAATGATTTATGAAACTGAATCTCATCCTACATTCTTAGTGTTCAGTTAATAATCTAGATTAAAGTCACTTACCAAGTTTCAGTGACTAAACTGAATTTTAATTAAATGAGAATATCATACAAATCTCTTCATCTGCACCTTCCTTTTTTGTTTGTTTTCTTTTGTTTGTTTGGTCTTTTGTATGATTTTACATTTAGAGAAGCTGTTTCTAAACAGCTTGCATCTTTTTGGTAACCCGATTACGAGTTGAAAGATTATTCGCTTCCTGTAAGATTAGACTGTTGGCATCAGGCTCACTTTCATCAAGTCTGATGTGACAAAATTTAGGCACTTCTGCAAAGTCTCTTTTAAAAACATTATAAATATACTTGTAAAATAATATTTTCAAGACTTTGTTCTTTTGGGGATTGAAGAGGGGTATGAAGTTCATACTGTGCAAAATTTTTAATTTTCTTCTGCTATTCTGCTATGATTCAAATGCAATTTCTCCATATAAGTCGAAAATCAACTATCTGCATCGACAGAATTTGTGCTTTACTTTGGATTTCTGGCTAAAACGTTTAGATTGGCAGGGTGACGTGCAGGATGCTGGGCTTTGTTTCGTTTCCTTCGTCTTGGAATCAACTCGCGAGGGGAGCAAAACCAAGATTTAGAACCAAGAGGAAGAAACCCATTAATAACTGGGGTTAAAATTAAACCTGCAACTGGAATAAGTTTTTAGCCGATACAAATTAATTATTGCTGAACTTGAAAGATTCATAAACACTGAATCTCACAAGACTAAATTAATTGGACCGTTTGTGTTAGGTTATAGTTATGGAGACAATATTCGCAAGAAGTAAACTATGTTTAGAAAACTTTTAAAACTAAATGTTACCCTTTATGTCTTGAAACATCACAGCTGGTATCAGGTAGTTAACTATTTTAGGTTGGAATATAGTAAGCATACCATATTTAATATTCATATATAACATAGCAGCACTAGCTTTTTTTTTTAACTTTTTTTTTTCCTTTAGAGTTTGTGATTTGTCCGTCAGAACAAATTCGTTACTTAGCATGCAGTTTGTGGCAACTCTAGAGAGGAGGAGACAGGATAGTATGTACAGTAACCGGGTTTTGCCGATCGCAGGGAGGCCTCTTGACATTCCATTCCGCTTCTGCTCATTACTTCAGGATTATCTGTCAACGAAACGAAGACGTCATTGCACTTTTGGGTGGCGGGAGTGGGGCGGTTCGCGTGGCACGGCGCCCGGGGCCCTACTAGGCCCCAGTTTGTACGAGAGAGCGGCCCGCGCTCTTATGCTCAACTTACTTCCACCAACCTGGTCTTTGTCCTCCCACTTACACCTCCTCAAGCGCATGGCAGCGGGCGCGAGGGACACTCTGCATGGTGAAATGCCAGAGCGGTGCCTACGCGAGGAGCAAAGGCCCTGCAACGGGAGGCCGCTCCTTGGAGGCGCCGGGCACCCGTGGGTGCCAAGCAGGGAGGAAGGGACTCAGTGCCTCTGAGGAGACTTGCAGTTGCATCGGTGTTTGCTGCTCTTGGAAAGCACGAATCCCTCGGCATCAGGAGTGAGGGGGGAAAGCAAGGGTGGAGGCAGAGCTGCTCACCACTCCCAAACAGAAAAAAAGTACCGGGCCAGATGTTTTCAATAAGCCAAAGCTTCTTTTCTTTCATTTTTAGAAACTGCTGATTTTCCAAAAGATACCTTCAGGTCAATGAAATGAAGAGTTTTCTTCCATCTCCTCATGTCAGGAGATCCCAAGGGATATAATCACAGAATCATTATGGTCGGAAAAGACCTTTAAGATCAAGTCCAACCGTAAACCCATCACCACCCTGCCTGCTAAACCATGTCTCTAAGCGTCTCATCTACACGTTTCCTGAACGTTGCCAAGGACTGTGACTCCACCACTTCCCAGAGCAGCCTGTTTCAAGGCTTCACCACTCTTTCTGTGTAGAAATTTTTCCTAGTATCTAACCTGAACCTCCCCTGGTGCAGCTTGAGGCCACTGAGGATGATCACAAGGGTACCCCAGTGAGCCTAGCTACTTGCTGACCTTGCTAGTTTACCTTCAGATGTTTCAAACTGAGGGAGAAGACACCATTTTACAGAGGAGAGCTGCTGTGCTTTCAATACTGCAAAGGCAAACAGCAGAGCGCGCCTGGCGCCCTCCAAAAACTAGCATTTCCACAAGCTTGCGGGATCAGAAAGCAGTCTACATCTCTGTCGTCTGCCTGAAAGGGCTCTCGGTGAAGGCGATGTCAGGAGCAGGCGGCGCGGTGTTTCATCACAGCACTGCTGCAGTTGTACTCCAGACTCGAGCACAAGCCGAGGAATCAGACGGAAACACTTGCTTTCACTGTTTAATTTGGCATTCAGCATATTTTTAAATTGCATTTCCAGGTAGTAAGCAAGACAGTCATGACAGTGCTCTGACCTACTTGTGCATTACAGAGACAGACTGCCGCTTAACGCAATCCTTACTTTAAAGGGGGGGAAAAATAGCTTGAAAGTAGCTTTCAGTAACATACTACCTCTGACATACAGGCTGCCAAAAAGAAACACGCTCCCCACTGCGTGGAAGGCACTTGCTCTAGTGATCACATCTGAACACACCTCGCAACCAGAAGCGCCTGCAGCCACTGCATGAGTCACGTCCCGAAACTGCGCGGAATGCTGTGTTTGAGATGCCGTGAAAACAGTTACTCCAGACAACTGCCCGTTCAGTGAAACGATCATCAGTAACAGGAAGCATTTTCAGGAGGTGCACAAATGCGGTGACACCCAGCAGTGTTCCGCAGGAGTCTGGGAAGAGCCCTGGCCTAGAGGTATCACATACTCAACACACGGGAACCCGCTTCCGAAGGCACCTGCGATTTGTCCGTGCTCCTCAAGCCTTGAACAACCCACGCAAGGTCTGTGTTGGAAGCACACCTGTGTTATCAGCCCCGAGAGCCTGGCAACACTCCAAGCCCAACTGTAATGACTGACAATCCGTTGCTGCAAATGGCTTAATATTTAAATATATGATGCATACAACAAGGATAGATATTTTTCAATGACTTCCACTCATGGTGAGTTTGTTAGTTGTTCCTGTTTTTCTTTTTTGTGTGTGTGTGTGTCTAGACTCTGTTTCTTTTTGAAATAATAAAGAAATATTTTTGCTGAAATAATAAAGCCCCTCCTGTGATAAAATCCTGGCCCATTTACAGCAATGTGACTTGATCATAAGTGCAAAGAATATAGTCATACTGAAAATAAGAAATGACAAAGATTATCAGCACTGTTATTTTTAGCATGTTACAACCCAATATGTCAATGTAATTAATAAAAGCAGCCCTAGCTAGACTGGGTTAACTATAATCACAAAAAGTCTACTTTAATGGAACACAACCTGACACCTACTCAGTTTAAAGAAATTAGAATTCCAAATACTGCAGCTGCCTGCATCCTCTGCCTGTTTTTGAGGGGATTACATTTTCTATAGGTTTTTTCTCTCTGTATCACTGTTTCAGAAATATGGAGAAAATTTAGGCAGAACTCACTGCCCCTTTTGGAGAGATATATTGACAGGTCAAAGCAAGACCGGCCCTCACAATTACCCCCAGACCCATGCCTGAAGGGATAGGGGTCTGATCCCCAACTGTATCCGTATTGCTAGGAGAGTGTGGGGCTGCCCACGGATAAGCAAAAGTGTCCCCACGCAGGCTCCCTGGCCGCCGGCCCAACCCTGCTCCAAACTCAAGGATCAGCAAAGACGAGGCCGTCACTCTCCTCTGTGTCCCGTTTAGGCGGCTCTGGGTGCAGAGGGCCCAGCTGGAGCTCTCCCTGCTGCACGTTTCTGTGGTGACCAGTTGGCTACGGGGCTGGCTCCTTCCTAGCGCAACTTCCTCGCCGCTTGTGCAGGGGATGTAACTAGGGCATGTTGCACCCTGGCTATTTCTAGGATACGTAGGAGTCCTCCCAGTGGAAAAAAAAGTCTCTCCTTCAGAACAAGCCTCTCCACTGCAGAGACTCAGAACTGAGAAGCTCTGTTTCTTTTTTAACCTTAGTCACAGCGTGTAAAATGCATCCCATCGTCTTTAATTATATGTTCACACCCTATTTCTCAAAAGATATTGCATCTCTACCATAGCTATATACACGTAGCAGCTTCTGCAATTGTTTTTCTACTGTGTCTGACAGAGAAACATAAAATGTAAACTACTTTACAAGGCAAACACACTATGAACCTCTCCTGTTTAATCTACATCAAAGTAATAAACAGTGATGGAACATGTAGGCTATCTAAGTCTGCATCACTGCTAATTGCCTGACCTCTTGCATGTTGAAAAATGAGAAACTGCACAGAACATACCGACCAAAGAACATTGCAAACACACATTACGGGGAGACTCCCTTATTACTTGCAAACAGGTCCAAAAGCCTTCCTGTTCACTACTGTTTGAAGAATGAGATCCCAAATGTATGCATATATGACTCATTTTCAGTGATACTATTATTTTCATTGTACTTCACAGTAACTTGACATAATGTATTGTCACTTTTACCATAGTAAGTGTAAACATAAAGAACTGAGAACAAGACTGTGTGCGTATGTGTGTATGCGCGCATTTATGCAAAGATCAATGGCTCAAGCATTTTCTTGTGCTGTGTGGGGTAAGACCATAACCACGTCCACGGATATTGGTACAGATGTGCATGAAACACTCCACTACTGCAATAATAGATCCCAAAAGAACACTCCTTCTAGCAAAAGCAGAATGGCCTGACACTTATAACCACGACAATTACGCATGCACACTAGAAGATTTAACAACAGGGCAGGGCATTTGTTGAGGCAATCACAGACACAGGGTGTCCTCTCCATTGCCTTCTCACCTGGTACCCATTTGAGGTGATGTGCCAGACAGAATGCCATTCTGTAGAGTCAAATCACTAAAACTGTGCCAATGTTAGTTGCTAGGTCTCAACTAACCGGTAAGACAAACAGTAAATCGAAATGTCTGCAAACTGCTTTCTACCTGCCAAGAAACATTTGCTCTTCCAAATTTGCCACCTATAAAAACACTAAGCTCCCAAGTGCTTTCTCTCCTTTCTATAAGAGCACAGCTCATTTAAACGTTTACAAGCCTTTAGGCCCTGTGAAGTACCACAGTGTCCTTAACCCCACTAGGTAACACAGAACATCCATTCCTTTAGCCAGGGAGACCTACGTTACTCCTCACGGCGACACAGTTCTGCTTTGGGCTCCATGGGGAAGACAGCCAAGAGATATGTTACTGTCCAAGCTTTCAGTTTCTCACCAAACCACCAGCCTGCTGTGTGTAGTGGACAGCTCCACAGCAGCGTGGACTTTCTTTTAACCCTGCCAAGACGGCTGTAGCTGGTTATTGGCTCTAGACTGAAGAGGTAAAATTAAAAAAGTCTTTTATAACAAAGTGGAAATTCAACCTTTGTGAGCTCTTTTCTGATTTCTGAATTGCTAAAAGCGTTGCTTTAGTTGATACAGTTCATGTAGTTATCCGTATAACCTAAAATGATGACTGCGTACCATTAATTCAGCATTACTGTTTGGCTTGAGATTTTCTATCTTGATTGCTGCAACTCATGAAGCTTCTTTATTCTCTTGGAGGTAAATATTCTTTCCACTTCCATATTTAATATACAACCATGAATGCAGAGAATTTTAATTTTAAAATCCAGTATTAATTTGGTGTACATGATCTTTAGCAGTTCAGCTAAAGATCAGTCACAGTGGGTAAGCAGGAAAACATTACTTTACATGCATCTCTGAGATGTTTTTCTTTAAGAGGCTTTGAAATTATTTCTCCAAATTACACTTTGCTCTGTGTTAATACATTTGAAAATAGGATTAAGACTATATCTGACCTCCATATTGCAAAGCATCTGTCCCTCCAAAAATATACTCCTACTCAGCAAATATCTTAGACTACTCAGCCTTCTGTTTGTAGAGCAAT